TAACCAAAGTGCAAAAACTGGTATTGAAACCCCTAGCTTTCAGAACGTTGATAATGAAATCCTAATTTATGGTATCGAAGGTTTTCTTGATATCTAATTTGATAACCAGATTGCCACCCATGCATTTTTTATCACGATCCTACAAAATTTTCTGTGCCAAGAGAATATTATCAGAAATATCATGACCTTTAATGAAGGCCGACTGATGAGGGGAGATAAGGGAAGGTAGGTGAGGTTGGAGACGAGCCACAATCAGTTTAATAATAATTTTAGATATAACAGAAGTTAGAGAGATTGGCCGAAAGTTCTTCCAATGAGATTTTTCATTTGATTTAGGGATGAGAACAATCAGAGCGGCAGAGAATTACTTTCCATGATCATCACCCTGAAAAAAATTTGAACAACAAGTACCAACTCGTTCTTAATAATGTTATAGCATGAAATATGAAAAGCAGAAGTGAAACCATCTGGGCCAAGAGCTTTCTGAGAACTAATATCTTTAAGAGCAGTAAAAATTTCCAGCTCAGTAGGGGGGTCAGACAGAGAGGGAGGAAACCGTGTTTCTCTGATCCTCTAACAAGTCTGAAAGAATATCAGTGACAGCTGCATTGGAACCAATCTGGTCAGTATCAGTGAGAACAGAGCCCTCCTCAATGACAATCTTAATAATGTTATTTATGTTACAACGATGTTTGATAGTAGCATGAAAGTACTTGGTGTTTCTATCACCGTTTTTGAAATGATTGTCACAAGCTTTCTGTCTAAGGAAATCATTCTCAATGGAGATTTCTCCAAAAGAGTGTAATGAGCATCAACTAACTTGGCCACAAATTAGGAGTGTCAATCAACTGAGCTTCTAAAGAGTCAACCTCCTGTTGGGCCTTCAAAACCCTAGAGTGAACATTGCCAAAAGTATCAATGTTCCATCTCTTTAAATGAGACAACATTCTTATGAAGTTGCCACAAAATGAAACAAGGGTTACCACTCCATCTAGAGACCTAAGCCTGCTTAATCAAATCAATAAAAGTAGGATGAGAAGCCCAAATATTGAGAAATTTAAAATGATAACGAGAAGGTTTGGAATGAAAAGCCAAGCTAAGCAAAATGAGATTATGATCCGATGCAACATAATTAAGATGTTTGACATGAATAATGTTGTAGTAACCCAAAAACGCTGAGTTTCCCAGAAATCTATCCAATATTTGCATAAAAAAACCCCGCCGCCAAGTGTAAGGAGGACCTGAATAGCCTAAATCATAAAGGCCAGCATCCTCAATATGTTCACAGAAAC